AAAGAAGAAAGATCTGAACTTTTCTCTCGCGTGTTCTTCTTTACTCTTGAGTTTCGGGTACTTAATAAATAAATAATATTCTCTATTTAGTGGGGAAAAAAAATTAAAAAAAAAAATTCTGTTTTGGTTTTGTTTGGTATTTTTGTGTGTTTGGGTCCAATGGTCCCTGTAATGTAAACAGTTGGGGAAGGTGAAAGATTGCAGAGTCGTCAGTAACCCTTTGGTCTCTCTTCATTTTGCATGCGTGTCCTTTTCTTCCCTCATTACTAATTTAATTATTTATTGCATTCAATAAAAAACTCAAACCCAAAAAAATGAATAAACTACAATTTTCTTCAATTGTTCAATTGACGTAATGTAAGTACACATAAAATATGTATATATATCACAATCTATATTTGAATCTAGGGGTTTTTATTAGTGTCGTTATCAAGTCATAATCTATATTAGAGTTTGACCACACACAAAAATATGGATTAGAGTTTTTTTGCATTCGTGTACGAAATATTGAAAAAGAAATTTTTTTTTTGTGGAATTTTTATTGTTTATATTCAATTTAAAAAAAAAAAAATCATGGCTAGTTTGTGTTTCTATTGTAAATAAATGGCTAGTTTGTTACCAACATATTTTCGAATTTTGATTAAAGATTTTTGATTATTTTATCCAAATCAATTTATTTGTGGATATGCCGAAATGTCCTTAATCTTAACGTTGACTGTTTATGGTCAAATTATAGTTAGGAAAGTATTGTGTTGTCTTTCAATTTATTTATTTTTTTAAATATAATTCAATCTAAATTAGTCTAAAAATGGGATAATATTATATCTGCATACCTTGTTGATAAATAATTAGTCAATAAACTAGTAACTTAAATGACATTTGATAATGTCAAAGAAAAGGTTGAATAGTTAAGTAATTAGTCAATAACTTATGTAACGTATTTTTTGAATTTTGTTTGGTCAAAAGACTATGTAACGTATACGATATGACAATTAGTAAAGTTTCCATTTGCGTTTTCTATAAAGAAAAATAAAATAAAAAATGGTTTTTGTTTGATGAGGAAACAAAAAAGGGTGGTAGTAATTAATTCGATTAAGTTGACTTTTCGTACAACCACATATTTATTTCGACACGTGTCAAGCTGTTTAATTAAATGCATGCATCCCATCATTTTAGATTCATACTAGGATTGTGGATTTTAAAGCATTAAAGAAACACTAAACATTCTGATAAAATTTATTATATGTGTTCTTATAATAAATACACAATACAGTATGTTTTTCCAAACCACATATTTATATATTTACACAATAGTATTTGTTTTCAAACTGATTAGTTTAGGATTATATTTCAGAGTATGTTTAACTCTAAAACGTTTATCAATAAGTTTTGTATTTATTATTTCACTGTTTTTTTTTTCCAAAATTTTCACGATTTCTATTTCTTTTTTTTTTGTTACAATTGAAACAGCTAGCAATAAATGAGAATGGTCCCATCAGACTAACAGTACGTTCAAGAAAACATAGTTCAGTCGGAAAATAAAATTTACATCATTATCAAATGATTTTTCTTATTTAAATAATTATTGTTTTTTTTTTACTTTTACCGCTTTATCAAATTAAACGACAACGGACACTGTCGTTTGTTATCATCAAACCATCATTCGCCATTAAATTTTCATTTTGGCTTTCTTCAATTGCGTGCCGACAAATAAATCCGAGTTAAAATCATTTAATGTTCGGCAACTTTCACCAGGAAATAACCACAGTACTAATTACATAATTATTGGTATAAATTTTTTAGACTTGCACGAAGTGGTGGTCCAAAATAAAAGTAAATGCATTTCTTACACATTTACGTGTGGTATATATACCGTATACACACCTTGCATATATGTAAAATACGTGTTTTTACACATCATGCACAAATGCGTAATCCAACACGGCGATACATCCGATATATATCTAACAGCATCTTTAATTCATCTCTATTTTTTCTCCTAAACTCTATTTTAGAGTAAAATTTACTCTAATCCACCTCTATTTCTATTTCTAAAATAGAAAAAATTATAGTATTCCTGGACAAGAGAATTGTTATGTTTTTCTCAATATTATAGGAGATATACATTGAAGATGATCTAAAC